GTGCTGTAGAACAATAATATAGTTCCTTAGTCTAGATTCATAATTTATTTTATTAAAGCGATGTCAAAATTTAATTGCAAAAAATAAAATTAAATTTGTTTAGATTTTTTACTTTAGATCATTATAATTTTAAAACAAATAAATAATTAATGATATAAAATTTAATTATTGAATAAATTTTTTATAAATAAAAGTTGGTTTGAAATAATTTTGTAGAAATTACGTGGCTATTCATTAAAGTCATTATCTTAATTTAATATAATGTTACTACAAAGGATTATTTAATTAATTATAACATAATCATGACAATCATGCCGTGTTTCGCTCGAGATGTCCACAGTAGCTCTTCTACAATCATAATAACTATCCAGATTTTAAACTATGTTAATATTAACTTATATTTAATTTATAGTTATATTTTTATAGTATTTATAATAAAATTCGTATGAATTTGCTTATATTTCATAATTAATAGTTACGGATTTTTTAGCTGTAGGGCGAAAGATTGATAATGTGTTTCGTTAAGAAAAGATTAAAAATTTGTTAGCATTTATAAATAATTGATAATGTGTTTTTTTGTTTTATTATTTTATTTTTTAAAATTGTAAAATTTATTTTAATTTATTTAAGATATTTATTTTTTCAAATTTTAGTTTTTTTTATAATTTCAAATCTTTTCCCAAGTACAAAGACGACTTCTAAATTCAAATAAGAATATTCCTGCCTCCCATAAATTACTCACAAAACCAACTGTTCCAAAGCCCAGCCCTCTTGTTCTAGAGCCCTCTTGTTCTATTCAATCAATAATTTAATAGGGGCAATATTGTAGTATTATTTTTGATAATCTACAACATATATTTGAAAAATTTTTCTGATTTCTATTTTTCAAAATAAAAATAGAAACACAACAGAAACAAGATACTGAAAACAGAATACTGAGTATTTATAAAAAAATTTGAAAAGTTGTATTTATCTAGGATTTTTAAATAAATATATAAATTTAATAGACTTTTCATAAAATTGCTGATACATCAAGAAAACAAGTAATAGATCAAGTAATAGATAATCTTATTGTTTTTAAAATAAATGACCATACTTTATTGATTAAATCGTCTCACCATTAATAAATAATGACCATTTACACTTATATATTATTTTAATGTTTTGTATATCTTTTATTTTAATAAAAATATTCGTTTTGTATTTTTTTTTATATGTATACAACTTTGAAAAAAATTTGTTTGAAAACGAAAGATTTATAGAAGCGAAAGAGGGAGTATAAAAAGGTGGATGAATTCTATTTTTTCTCATTCTTCACATTTTTTTAAATAAAAATACTGCTTTTTTAAATTATTAATTTAATTAACCTTATACAATAATAAATAAAATCTTAAACAATTTTTATTTTTTGTCTGCCGATTAAATTAATATGTTATAAATGTAAAAATGAAATACAAAAATTTAAATTTTCAATTTAATAAAATCAATTTATTGTTTATTAGAAATAATCAAGGCTTAATAAATAAAATTTAATTTGTCAAATATATACGATTTTGAAAAACTTTAGCATTTCCTGAATATTCAATATTTTCTCTAAATTTTGATTTCTAATTTATTTGATAATAGAGATTTGTTACATAGAATTTTTTATCTTGATATTTTACTTTTTTATATATTTTTGGATCTTGATATTTTAAACAAAATAACACATAAAATATTACTAAAATTTAATAACAAATCCTTGGATGTTTTTAATTATAGTTATAAAATAAAATAATATTTCGAAAAATTCTTATTGACATATTCAATACATAGATAAGGGCTAATGTACCATACACTCTGTTTTGTTGTAAAATTTTTCGTGACACTACACTTTGTTTAGTGACGCAAATAAGTAAACTTTTTAAAATAGATACTTATGGATTGTAGTATGTACCAAATATCAATTAAATTAAATACAACTTTATATTTTTGTTGGGTATCGGCTTAGTATAAAAGCCTTCCTATTATTCAGTCGCTATTATTCAGTCGCTATCCTTCCTATTATTCAGCCTAAACGGACTTGAGGAAATATTATTAGTATATGTAACGGCTGAAAAAATGAATTTATTCGGATTACCTTGGATAATCACATTCGAGAAAAAATTCGGTTATCCAATAGTAACAACTCTATCCGACAAGGATTCAGATAATTCAAGAAATTCCATTCAAAAAGAGATAATTCCGACTATTAGTGAAAAAAATAAGAATTGTATATAATTCAAAAGGATATTCAAGAAGAGATTCAGGCAGAATTAAAAGTAAAATTCAGTCAAGTATTCGAAGAGGGTCTGGGGCATCGTAGCAAAACGAAAGCTCATCTTCACTTAAAACCAGGAGCTAACCAGTACCGCTTGGGGTTAAAGATTCGGTCGAAGAAGAAATTAATCGACTATTAAAAATGGGTGCTATTAGACCTATTGAATTCGCCGGCTCCGGAGCCGGCTCCGGAGCCGGCGATTTTCGGAGCTGCTCCATATTGGCTCCGGGCTCCAGGCGCGCGCGAAGCGCGGGGTTTTGCACAAGCGTCTCGCCAGCGCCCATCTCGCCAGCGCCCACGCATATCCACTAACGAAATTAATATTATATATTAATCATGTATAATACATTTTCAAATAATTTAGTTTTATTCTCGATATAAATTTTACTCTAATTTTAATTAAATATGTAATTTATATTTTAACTTTTTATATCTTTTTTATGAATTTTTTATATAAATTTGATTTGAGTCTTTTTAAATTATTTTTACATTATCTATTAAAATTAATATTATTTTTTATTTATAATAAAAATACGCATATCCACTAAAATGTTCACTTCAGTTTCTTATAGAATACAAATAATTTTCTTCTTAAAAAGACTCTAACGATGTCGTCAATACTAATTAAACTGGAAGATTCAGACATCTGTAATTGATTGTGAAATGTATTATTGCAATTTTCTTGTTAGTGTTATTTTCTTCTTTTAAAATATTAACTAATCATGTATTTTATCACATTATTTTTATTTCAAAATACATTCAAATTTTATTTCAATAAACTTTCCAATAACTTTCCAATTTTATTTCAATAAAATTTTATTTAATATCTATTTTAGTTTATTTCTTTTTCACTTTCTAAATATTAAAATTAAAAAATATTATACACGTTGATTTTGTTTGGGAATGTGAAATTAAATTGATTTTAAGAAAAAACAGAAAAATGATAAAATGTTTTTCAAATTATCTCGATAAAGGACCAATTGTCTATATGATCAATAAGCTTAAGAGTAGAGGTTTAAAAAAATTTATATAATTATTACTTCATTTCCTTGTCTTGAAGTTCTTTAATTCTTTTTTTATGTACATGTTTGATTGAAAAGTATTATGTTTTCTAACAAATCTTTACATATTATTTTTTATTTAAGGATTTTTAAAAAAATAAATACTCAAAGTCAAATGTTAATTTAAATTAAAATAATATATAAATATATACTTTTAAGACAAACATTTGTATTTCAATTTATTAATGCTCAATTTGACTAAAAATAGGAGCTGGTTACACCTTATTCCATAGGAACAAGTTTTATTCAGCCCAAACAAAGTCTGGGTACATTTATCGTTTATTATTGAATTCTTTATTTGCATTGAATATGAATTTTTATTGAATATAAATTTTAGTTTTTTTAAAATTTCATTTAATAAATTATTAAAAATATTAATCATTGCGTTTATAAATGAATTTTTGAATAAAATTAGGTATGAATTTTTTATTGAATAAAAATTCATTATTAAATTACATTTATTATTATTAAACATTATTGAAATATTATTATTGCAATTACGTTTCCGAACTTCTTTTTTTGGCTAAAATTGGCGGGAATTTATCAAAATCGAAACAGAAAAAACCGTTGTATATGTTGGTTTAAAGCATGATCACTTCCCAGACCAATGTAAACTTCATCAGCAATATTTGCTCGCACTTTTCCCAAAATTGGTCATTTATCTTTTTATATTTTATTTTTGATAGACTGTAGAAGTACACGTTCTCATAATTTAAATAGATTATAAATGTAAACATTAATCATGTTTTATTATAGAAATCAAATTTTGTTACTTTTCGCTTCACATGTAAATATTATGGGAATACAATAAAATTATAATTTTTTTATATGAAATGAAAAAAATATTTTCAGGGAGTTATTTAGAACATACTTATTGAGTCATGAAATATTATTTTTTACTTGAGAAATATTTCAAGTAAGATTTTTTTATACATTTTTTAATTGAAAATTTGATAAAAAGACTATTAAAATAAGTGTGAAATATTTTGAAATGATTAGTATAATATTATTATGTCAACAATTTTTCAAATTTGTAAATGATCTTTATTATAATTAAATAGTTTATTATCCTTTATCTATGTGAAATTTGTATTAATATTAGAAAATTTATATTATTAATAATAATAAATATATAATTTATATTAAATTATTTATATTACATATTATTATTATACAATTATTACATAAACCCTATTATTCTATTTAAGGATTTTAATAATATTGCTAATTATTTTATATTGCAAATTAAGAGGTTGAAACTGTTTCAGTTTTCACAATAATTTAAAGATGTATCAGTTATGCAACTTATATTCTGTAGTTGCTTAAGATGATTATCAATTTTGTTTTAAACTATATTTTACATTAAGACCCAGAAAATAATTATAATTTAAAAGTATATGTAAAAATTAGATTTAATTTTATATTAAAAGTATAATAAATTTGGAATAAATTCTGGAGACAAATGCTAAAATGTCAAAGATCATAGTTAATACAAAACTTAATAAACTAAAAAGAAATTTGAAAAATGTGTTTAGATAAATATAATAATTTTTTCAAAAGAATGATTATAATTTTGGAAAATGTAAAATAGAAGCGCCACCTATTATTGCATACACTTAAAAAATCCTTTAAAATCTAAATTATATAGGACACCAGTAATGCTTAAAATACAAATAAATAACATGATAGAAACCTGAGTAATTAGAGAAAGCAATATACTTTGGGCCTTGTAACGACCAAAAATTCGGCAATAGTTTGGAAAATATAAACAATAAAATGCAACAAATATAGTCACGTAAATATGTATAATAATAAAAGAGAAAAGAGAGAGAAAATTCCTTTAAGATCGATGCGATAATCGCGAGCGAGAGGGCACGGGCGCAACAGGTAAACATGCCTATCGCCTCTACTACACCCGCTTTGAAGTTTATTGTCACTTCGACCAAGCTTTGCAAGTGCCTCCGCCGCAAGTAGGAAGGAAGAAGAGGATAAGAATTAAAGAATGAGTCAAAAATGATTTCTTAAAATATTAAAGTTAACTTATTAAATTATATAAATTAAATATAAAATTAATTATAAATTAAAATTAACTAAAGTTTTATGTAAAGAATTGTTCTATAAAGGCAATAGCCAGCCTTGAGAATTTATTTTAATGATACTACTTTATCATCAAAAAAATCTTATGAAAAAACTTTAAGACTAGTAGCGACAGAAGATATGAAAATGCCTAATTATTTGACTTAAATAATAAATTAGGTAATAAATAATTAATGTCTTTTAATTTCAAATAAATTTTAGTAACTACAAGTAATCTAAGAGAAAAAATCAAATATAAATGTTTCAAATATGTAAGTACAATATTTGGAAAAAACTAAAGGCATGCATGCCATTTATGTAATAAGAAAAAAGGCGCGAGCAAAATGGCCATATTTTATATATGGTTAAAGATAATATTAATATTTAACTTGAAATGGATAATTTAAGCTGTATTTTTAAATTTAAAATAAAAAAAGAGGTTATGATTTAAAAAAAGAAATTAATGAGAATATTAATGATGGAAAATTTTAATTTAATAATAAAATGTTGCAAACCATTGAAAATTCTCGTTCAGACTTTTTGGCACAAATTAAGACTATATATATATTAAATTTATAATAAATATTTATAAAAAATTAAATTTATAATAACAAAAATAAATATTTTATCTTTATTTAAATTATTATTATATCACTATATATATTATTAAATACGAAATTTTAAGGCAAAAAAAATTCCATTTCAATTTATCTTATTAATAAATTTTAAAATTAATAAATTTTAAATCAATAAACCTCAATTTTTAAGGCAAAAATATAAATGACCAAGCTTTTTCCTCAATGATTATGAAGTTGGCAATATAGAAAATGTCCCAGAAGACTTATTATAGCAATTTTATTGATTTTTCGTATAATTAGTTATTTCTTTAATATATTTCAAAAAGATTTATTAAAATAATTTTTGAGTAATATAACTAATTTTAGGAAAATATTTTATATTAAAATTTATAAAAAATATACTTTTACTGTAAACATCACGTAAACGATTAATTTGTCAATTATTATTTTTAGCAAGACATTATGGAAGACAATCAAGGTAAAGTGTTGAATGGCGAGAAGGAGAGTATGGATGTTAACCTTGAAAATGAGAATATCGAGGTGAAAATTGAGGATATTGAAGGTAAAAACTAAAATAAACAGATGTGATACGGTAGGAAGAGAGAAATTGAAGTCGTTATTTAAACTTAAAAATATTTTTTAACTAATGTTCCAATTAATTTAATTTTTAAAATAAATAATGTTGAAGATTTTTCATCACCCCTTTCAATATTTTTTAATTCGCAGCACCTGCCTTTATCAGTAAATTTAATCAATTTGTGCACGTATTTGTTAAAAATCCTAACTTTTTCACTATTACTAATAATTAATGATATAGACTATAATAATAATAAATAATAATATTAACAAAATTGTTCGTGAAAAATTAATGTATATTTTCTTCTTCTTCCTCCTCTTTAAATATAAAATTAACTAGCGGGGAGGACCGCCTTCGGCGTTCCTCTCCGCTAGCAAAACAACACAATATTCAAAAGCCTTAGGTCCCCCACCTCGACATTAGCAATTCAAATAAACGAAAGATCAAATAATAATCCAGAGACATAATTAAACCGAATCAAACCCAACTAATAGCTGACTAAATAAACATATTACATTACAACTAATATATATAATTCCATTTTATAGATACTACAATTTACAAATAATATATTCCAGAAAAACAACAATTATTACCCTTAGACATTTTCCATAATTTAAATCATATAAAATATAAAGAATAAACCTACTTCTTTTCCTTCTTACTATTATCATTGTTTTTCTTAACAGGGGTAGTCAGAATTGTACCAACTTCACTCTACTTTTCAAGAAAAATAAGATCCATAACATTCATCTTTAGAATAATACATTTATCTAAATTTGACTTCTAGTTAATAATTATATAAAAAAACCTTCAATAACACCAAAACTCTATTTGATTTTGAGATTATCACCACGTCCAAGCAATTCAAGATGTTTCATGTTTTCACCGGAAACCAACAAATCTGCACGGCTATTTTCCACATCGCATATAATTGCACATAATTCTTTTCCATAATCAACAAACGTTCCAGAGAGGATACATTTGAACTCTTAAAAACATTGAAAAATTATTTTATAAAGATTAAACACCATATAATCCTGGCGATTTTATCTCCTTTAAGGTTTCAACACGTAAAATTGTAGGATCAATCATCTTAACTTTTGTAACAGACATGAGAATAAATTCGTAATCAAGTAAAGTATTGTAATGTTTTTTGCCATCAAATCGCGCAATATCAAAGCTTTGTGATTTTACCAAATTCAAACTAACAATCTGTAAAATTGAAACTACCAATTACTTTTATTTCAAATTACTTTTCCCGGAATACAGACTTTAAGAAATCCCTCAGTAGCCTTAATATTGTTAAATGCAGTAACAACAAAACAATCGCTAGTTGCAGATAACATGATTACAGTAGATTTAAATCCAGATTTGAAGATTTTTGAAACAACTCCACAACAACGCCTATAAGAATTTAGTTTAGAATTTAACAGAAGCATACCCTAACAAAGTCCCAGGTGGAATTGCTTGCAATTCTTCCAATGTAGACAATCTCATATTTTCCATGTCGACAAGTAACGAACAAAAGTGTGATAATAGAATAATAAAGAATTAACAAAAACTGAAAAAAATGGTTTTTAGTAAAAGCAGAAGATATGAACGCCGACGACGTTCAACTCCTCTCTTTTAAAATACAAACAGGGCTAATAACTGCTAACCTAGCCCAAAACTCCTATATGGATAGGGCAGACAAAAGATAACAATTCCCCCCGTTTCAATATTCAGCCTGTTTCACAATTCTCTTGTTTCAATATTCCGCCTGCTTCACAGTTCCCCTTGTTTTAATATTCCGCTTGCTTCACAATTCCCTCTGCTTTAATATTCCGCCTGCATTAAAGTTGACGTCTAACACTTGACACATGAACGATGACGTCTAGCACTTGACACATGAAAGTTGACGTGAAGCACTTGACACATGAACGTTGACGTCTAGCACTTGACACATGAACGTTGACATCTAGCACTTGACAAATGAACGTTGACGTCTAGCACTTGAGACAAATGAACGTTGACATCTAGCACTTGACAAATGAACGTTGACGTCTAGCACTTGAGACAAATGAACGTTGACGTCTAGCACTTGACACATGAACGTTGACATCTAGCACTTGACAAAAGAACGTTGACGTCTAGCACTTGAGACAAATGAACGTTGACGTCTAGCACTTGACACATGAACGTTGACATCTAGCACTTGACAAATGAACGTTGACGTCTAGCACTTGACACATGAACGTTGACGTCTAGCACTTGAGACAAATGAACGTTGACGTCTAGCACTTGACAGATGAGTGTTGACGTCTAGCAATTGACAAATGAACGTTGACATCTAGCATTTGACAAATGAACGTTGACGTCTAGCACTTGAGACAAATGAACGTTGACATCTAGCACTTGACAAATGAACGTTGACGTCTAGCACTTGAGACAAATGAACGTTGACATCTAGCACTTGACAAATGAACGTTGACGTCTAGCACTTGAGACAAATGAACGTTGACGCCTAGCACTTAAGAGGACACAGGACTCCAGCAAACGTTAACGTAGAAAAGAGCACAGCAATGTTTAGAAGTGTTGAGAGCAGTTGATTTTGCCAAAAATTGATTTGATTTTGCCAAAAATTGGTTAAAATTTTCAAATTAAAGAAATTTTTGGTCAAAAATTTTTACAAAAAACTTTTTTGAAAAAATTTTTTCGAAAAATTTTTGAAAATTTTTTTATAAAAATTTTGACAAAGATTTTTCAAAAAATTTTCGAATCAAATATTATCGAAAGCGTTTTTAGAAGCTAAATAATCACTATGAATTGATTTATTTGTAATATTATGCATAAAATTTACTTAATTAACATTTTGCTGCTTTAAAATGCAAATTTTGCGTTAAAAATTTTCAGTTTTCGGCCCATATTTGATCCATATTAAGTCCATATTTTAAGATTTTTAGTCCATATTATATGTCCATATTTTTCGATTAATAGTCCATATAAATCTGTTCCCTAGTCATCAACTAATGGATAGATTAAGTCTTAATGTCGAAAACAACATTTTATTCATAATTAAATCATTTAAATAACAGAATGTATATTAAGTCAAAAGAAGAATAAAGATAAATAACATCTATAAAATAAGAGTTACTTTTGGCATATTAAAGATTTTGTAAATAATGGAATAGATTAATAACAATACTTTATTAAAATAACTATATTTTATATAATAAATTTATAAAACAAATCTTTTATGAACTTTAGATTTAATTTAATATAATTATATTAATCGCAAGTACGCGAGAAATGAACAAATGATTATACTAATTATATCTATTATTGATATTTAAATAATGAATGTTTAATAAGAATATATTTTTTTAACTTAAAAGACTATTACAATTACTATTTTTTAAATGAATTAAAATAATTTTTATTTTGCTGTTTAGGAAAATGTTTTTTTTAAAGTGAAATTTAATTTCTATCTTTCACATTTATTTATATTTTATTATATTTTATATGAGAAGGAAAAAAGTGGAATGGCAAAAGAAAGAAAATTTTAAATGAAAAGAGAGTGAATATATTCTGAGAAGAGGCAAAAATATAAAAAAAGGAAAGATGTGCAAAAATAAGTTTGAGAAAAAAATGTTGTGAGCAAAGGCAATTTAAAAATAAAAATATGTTTAAAAAAGGTGAACAATGTGAATTTATATGTAAAATAAAAGATGTGCAAAAATTTTTAATTAAATTAGATGGCTTCTCTTTGCGAAGAGAATAGATTGGGAATTATAGAAATTTAAATTTATTTTGAGAAAAAATAAACTGAAGATTTTTATTTTAATAAATTAATTAACTTCATTAATGTTTAAGCCTGTTTATCATAAACTTTTTATGTTCCTTTTTATAGCATTTAATCTCTATAAAATAGAAAAAAATTTTGGTGAGTAGGGCTGGTTTGGTTTCATTATTATTAATGTTAAAATTTTAAATAATAATAAATAAAATTCTTTGATTAAATTAAATTAATTCAATAGTTTAATTACCCAAGTTTAAATTATTACTAAATATTCGTTTAAAAAATTTTAAGATAAAATTTCACAATGTAGAAAATTCTACTGGACTACATGTCTTGAGCAAAATTTTTCTTAATTGAATAAATAAATAGATAAAAAACAACAGTATTAATAAAATTATAACGAAATGCAAAGGCTGCGTCGGTCGACGAAAATTTTCAAATATTCTTGTATAAAATTTAAATAAAATAGAAGCGGGTTGCTTTTAAGACTTTTACGACATTATAATGTCTAAAAACGATTATTTATATTACAGAGACGATGAACATACTCAAAAAATAGAACGAACTTGGCGAGCTGCTAAATGTCACAATATGTAAAATTCATAAATAAATTACAAATTAAGCTAATTTTATAACTTTTCCTTTTTTCAAATCTAAATAATTAATATTCGTATCAAATATTTTTAAATAAAAAACGATAAATATTCAAACATTAATAAGCATTAATTGAAAATAGATTGATAAATATAAAATAGGTTAAATATCACAATTAAAGTTATTAAAAAATATAATAATGCCATTAAAAATTCAGTAAAACACTATTTGTTTTATAAATAAACAATAATAATTCTAAACTCTAATAAAATAATTCTAAACTATAATACTTTTTAAAACGTTTTAGAGGTAAGATATTAAAGAATTAAGATTTAAAAATACTGAACATTTTTATTTAAATATTGTTGATTTAAGATGGTTGAATATATAGTTATTTTAAATAGATGTATATATATTTTGAATTGTTCGCCTATGACATTTAATGTTTAAAAAATATTATTTTCTTAATAGTAAGTGTTAAATGATTCGCTTTCATTATTTTGCACTTTCAATATTGTACAAATTGCTATGATTAATTGAGAAATAAGAAATAAACAAAAATTTTGAGTCAAAATCTTGTTGAATCTTTAAAAGGATAATAATTTTTTATAAAAAAATTTTCAAAAAAAATAAAAATTTTTTTTTGTATTTTCAGTTGCTTTCACTCCTATTGCCTGCACATCAGAAAGAGCTTTCACTGTATTGGGAGAATCATGTTTGATATGATTTTCAATTAAAATAAAAATTTTTTAGTGTTTATCTATTACAAATTCGTTGATGAATTATGCAGTTAAAAATGTTGGAAGGAATGGTAAAAAATTTAAAAAAAAATTTTATAATTTTTTCTTATACAAAATATAAAAAATTTTAGAAAACTATAAATATAAAAAATAATAGATTTAGATAATTTTTATAATTTTTTCATATAAAAATTATCATATTTCTTGGATCATATAGATATTCAATTTTCCTTTTCAGTTTTTAGCAAAATACATATAAAATGAAAACATTTAATTAACCAACAATTCGTAAGAGAGACATTTGAAAAATATTTAATAGATTTAGATTAAAATTTAAAAAATTAAACAGTCGAGTTGGTTTACTAAAATTTCATCAAAAAAATTATTTTTAAAATTTATATATTTTTAAAATAAAAAATAATAGGTATATCATTCAAATATAATCCAATACGCGCTCAATAAATCAAATTCATTTAATCAAATCCAGATTCATCAAGATTAAAAGAATTAGCAGTAAATTCTAATGATTTATTTAGATCTGGAACCATAAAAAATATTTTTTAACTTAAATCTTAAATATAATTTTTAGTTATTTCAATAATTAATTATAATTTTGTGGGCATTTACATTTATGATATATTTAGTTTATTTTAAAAACTTAACGTAGAACTAACTTTTATGCATATTCTTAAGTTGTGCCTTGTGATTAACAATATATCCAAAAATTACTTTTATAATTAAAGCATCGAACAACTTCCTTAAATTAAGATAATTTAATTCGAAGATATTTACTATATAAATTAATAATAACATATTTTTTATCTAACATATTAATTTTATAATAAAGTGTATTTTCTAATGATATGTTATTTTCTATTTTTTAATTGTTTTTCATTATCACTTTTAGAATTAAATTAAAAACCTCTAATATGACAGAAAACAATCAAATTATAAAAATATTAATTTAAATCTTACAATTTCATCTTCTATGATTATTGATAATATCTTATAAAATTATAAATTTATATTATATTGCTGATTGTTTAATTCTTTATATTTATTTTATTTTTATATTTTTGTAGCACTTTTTCGTATTTTTTTGTAGACTTGATTAGTTTTTTCTTTATTCTTATTTTAGATTTACCACTAAACGTTTCTGAAAAAGTTTGGTGATGGTTTTTTAAATTTTCCGTATGTGTATGTTTCCTCTTCCATTATTATAGTTATAGCGTATTCTTCTTAAATTACTGACTTTTATGACTTATATGACTGCAGAACATCTTGAACCCAAAAGGTCGATTTTTGACAATTTTTAACTACAAAGATTT